CCAATTCAGCTCCACTAAACTGCTCCATGGGGAAAATAATTGGGTACACTTAGTTCTGCCTTGGCAAAATCTGGATAAGCTGTGGCTGGCTGCCTCTCCCTGCCCTCAAGTCCCTTTCTGGGCGTGCGCTCCAAATCACAGTCTCCCTAGTGAAAGCAAAGGGACCGTTTGTAAAAGCGAAGGGATCGTTCAAGTAAGGTGCTACTTATAGTAGTACTGGACTATTCTCGGAGGCTGCAGGAGGTCAAGGACCAAGACTTAAATTGCACCATGGAAATTTAAGTTGGATATTAGGAAGAACTCTCTCACTCAGAGGGTGGTTAAGCATTGTAATAGGCTACCCAGAGAAGTTGCAGACTCTCTATCCCTGGACATTTTTAAGAGTACAGACGCTTGACTGGGTTGATGAGTCAGGGATGATCCTGCCTTGACTAGATGACCTCTTGAGGTCCATTCCAGCCCTACTATTCTGATCCTATGTGGGTAGTAATGGGGGCAGAGTGGCCTCAAAAGTATCGAGCCTATGTGTTTCCTTATGTAGGAGAGGTACAGGAGGTGGGGTTTACTTCTTTAATGTGTGATGAATGATGAGACTGGATTTCTGCTCTCTGAAGCCAAGAGGAAGTGTACCCCTGTCACTAGGTTGTCAGTTCAAATGTGTGGGTGATTAGAGACTGGATTTACAAAAAGGCCTAAGCAGGTTTGGCTGCCAACTCCATTGACTTTCACTTAGAGATGTCAAACCAGCTCAGGCACTTCGGAAAACCCCGCAAAGTACTAACTAATGAACTAAATATCTGGAAATCTAGCCCCTCTAGGAAATGTTTGTTGTCTTTCAATGGATGCACTGCTTAGACTCGCAAACCGCAGACCCTTTCCTATGACTGGGAGCCAGACCCTTCTTCACTCACACTTGAGTTCATTAAGAGTCAATCCATTTAAAACAATGAGCAAACCCTTGGATGAGGCACCAGCTTCACACCGGTGCTTTAAGAGATAGTTTCCTGAGTGCCTGCCTCTTGATCCCAGTGAGAGCACAGGGTGCAGAGCACCTGCCCTGCCTGGATAGGTCAAGCACAGGTAATGATCTGGAGGCCAAAGGACAGACAGAAACCTGTGACTGCTCTGAGCCACACCCTCCGCGGGTGCAGTGCCTTTTGCATACTCACAAGTTCCTCTCTGACCACAGCGAGTAACAGGGACCAGGAAATAAAATATTGGATCTCACTTCCACCTGCCTCGTTTCACCATGCTGCAATAATGAGGCTCTTTTCTGCCAGCCCCAAAAAAGCCCCACAAGCTGCTCATGGAAAGTTCCCGAAGCAATTATGTTAATGACTATAAACTAGCCCAACAACAACCGCGGATGAAAATGAGCTCAGGGGAGTGAATGAAACAAACAATTCATGCTCCGGGCTCCCGGGATCCAGCAATATTTCCAGTAACCCAAAGGCCGCACTTTAAAGAATGCTTCATCCAACCATTTGCGCTTGGCAGGATTCTCTTTACACTCTGCTGGGCCCAGAGTCTCATCAACCGTGCCTTCATAAATGGAGCAAACAATGCCTGAATATGGCAGGGGAAGAGTCAAATAACACGAAGAAAGAGTCAATTAACACGATCCAAGTTCTTTTAGGGGCAGAGTTAATCAAGCATTCAGCGTTTTGTCATTCTTGTCTTTTTTTCCTGGGAAAATCCTATTAGTATAAAATCACTTAATAGGGCACTTCAAAGAGTTGATGGGAAAACAGCCTGTGCTCAGATATAAGCACCATTCAGCTGAACACTGGATTCATTTAGACTTTTGCATGAGAGTTTCATTATGGGTGTTCACGTTTGCTACTTTTTTTTTCATGAACTCATTAGTAGAGAGAAAAAAAAAAATCTTTGGCAATCTTAAACTTGCTGCACAGAGTTTCTAACATTCATAATCTTGCTGAATAATCATGGTTTGTCCCTTGCACAGCCGTTTACACCTGTGCAAAGTACTTGTCAAACACTGTCCTGATCTGACAGGCTCTCACACCCTCTTAGCAAACTCTGGCAAGGAAAGCTTGTTAAAAGCTGTGTCCTTTTCCTTCTTTCATAATCTCTGCTGTCACATGAGAGCCCCACGCTGCTGTCCTTGCTCACATGTGAAACCCCACTGATGGAGGTTTCCTCACAAGGGGATTCCAGGATGGTTTGATTTTTACATTCAGTGCTGGCCAGATGGTGCCGGCATATTCATGATGAATTGAAGATTAAAAAAAAAAATCAGCCCTGCAATGTTCAGACACAGAGTGTGTGCATCGAAGAAATAGCTGTTGCTGCAGCACAGATGGGAGCCTCTCTATAGGGTCTGATTGTGTCCTTTCCCCAGGTGTTGTCCAGGGTATGATTGTGTCTGTTTTCCCCAGGTGTCATCATTCACCAGCAGCTAAGGGGCAGATCCTCATTCTGCTTTACCAGCACTGCCTTAAACTGAGCCACCCTGATCTGCATCAGCTGAGAGTCTGGTCTTCCAACTGCAATTTGGGATGCCCACTTGGCCCAGATGTAAAGCAGTGAGAGATTCACACGCATGTTCCAGCTTTCTTCTCATAGGCAGGTTGAACTGAAAGCCCAGCCTCAAATCTGCCTGAATCGTAAGGTGTTTGAAGCCCGCGCTTTAACTTTACCGCCGTGAACTAGTCTTTCCTCTCTCACCCTCCTGCCGGCATCACGTGCACACCAGTTGACTGTCCAGTGTTACTGGAATTCCCGTTCACTCATGATGAATGCTTATGAGCCTGTCACAAATGACAAATAGCCAAATTCTTGGAAAGGAACAAAACTGAGATTTAGAGGAAATGTGTTTGGACATGTCCTGGAGACAACTGTCTCTTTGGCTAGTATGAGTTCAGCGCAGCCTCACTGCTGAGGCATAGGTGACTCAGACACACTGGTGCAACAGACACTGCTTGGTATAATTAAGTGTCAGGCTTATTTATTTGCATACAGATCTGGAGTGACTCCAATCACGTTATCACCTGGAGGCCAAATATATGTGCTGAAACTGAGTTCTGAGCTAATAAACAGAGTGTAAGTGACAAGCTTTCAAGTGTAGAGATTGCTTTTTTATCCAGCACTACAGGCATGTACAACATTGGCAGCAGTGAGAAGTCAAAACTCAGGTATTAGCAACTCCTCAGAATCACGTTCATTAAAAAAGCTTCAAAATCTTAGTAATAAAAGCGTGTGTGTGTGTGTTGGGGGGGAACTGTTTCTGGATTGTGTTTCCAAGTTTCTCACCCCACCAATTTTGATAATGGGAGACTCTCTTTTAAAAGAAAGCTGAGCTTCACATATAATCACATTGACTACAGGGGGGTTGGATTGTAAGAACATCAGTTAGTAAGAGGATTATGATAACATTTCAAGAGAAAGCCAAATTAGAATTGTGACTGCATCCAAACAGCAAAAATAGGCACCTCTGCCCCTCTGAATAGCCTGTCTAAATATAAACTCAGCAAAGCATGGCCACAAACACCAGCAGAGAAGCAGGTAACAAGTTCCCATGAGTTCGGTAGCTTAGAGTTAAAAGCCTTTGCTTCTGTTAGCCAAGGCCTGAAGTTCAAATCTAGTAGGGGCTCTGCCAGTGGTTTTACAGCATAGGTATTTTTTGTTATAAAAAGAAATGGGAAATTTTTCATTACTTCATTTTGTGTCTTCAAATCAAGACTGCATGTCTTTCTGGAAGTGCTGGGTTCAATACAGAGACAGCTGGGTGAAATGGATGTCTCCCTTGACTTAGATTAGACAGGTGGTCAGACTAGATGATCAGATGCTGGCCTTAAACTCTAGGACTGACCCCCCACCCCCTAAAAAAAAAGCTTATTGCAAGAATCCCTGGGTGAAAGTCTATGTCTTATGTTATACCAGAGTTCAGACTAAAGTATCACAGTCCCTTCTAGTGTTAAACTGTATCAATCTCTAAATTTTAGGGAAGACATCCTGAATGAAAGCCAGGGTGGAGGTGACAATACACTGGTGCTAGAGAAGTGGGTCCCAAACTTTCTGGATCAAGAGACCAATATCAACCCTCAAACCATCAAGCACCCTTATCATCAAACGTATCACAGAGGCTGACCATGGCTGCCAGTGGGAGTGCAGACTACATCTTGGGAGCTACTGAAGTAAAGGGCATCAATATGCTGGACAAACAGAAAACTTTACGTTTGAACCCCTTCCACAGTTGCTGGCAAGGAGAGCAGCAGCTAGAGAGCAGCACAGCCCCACGTTGAGCCGGGCACGGTAGGAAGCAAAGCCGCTCAGTATCCTCTCTAGGGGCAAAGCTGTCTGAATACCACTGAAGATGTGGCCGCAGTTGCGAGTGCCAAGTTCATTGGGAAATCTGACCCTGTTATCTGACAGCTGCAACACTGAGCTCCAAAAGTGTCCCCCCTTGCAATGCGTTCATGCACACCCGAGTGCTGCTGACTCTTTTCATCCCAAAGTGTTCAATGGCACCATGCAGCATCAAATTAGCACACTGCAGAATGTGTGCCCTCTGCCACACGCTCATCCCAGCACAATTCCCCCGCTCTGTTGGGCCGTGCGAGAGCTGGGCATAACAAGGGAGCTGTTTTCCACGGGGCCCTGTGCCAGGGGTGAATTCCTCAGCTGCAGAATCAGAGAAGGAACAGGTTGCGGAATAGGATTCGCGAGGTAATTAAACACAAGAAGCAGGGGCACCTGCACAGCGCGGGGTTGGGCAGATTTCCGCCTTCTGGTGAAAGCAGCAGCTCCCAGCGGGTGTCAAACAGGAGCAGAAGACCCGTCCGGCTGGCTTAGAGCGGTGGGACCCCCCAGCCGGCAGCCCAGCCTGTCTGTGGCATAGGCTGGCATTCGATTCTTGAGTCATGAGCAAAAAAAAACCCTCCAGTCATCAACAGTGCAGTCACGTACTCAGAGGGAAACCCCCTTCCTTCCTAGCTACTCTGGTTGGCTCATACCTTGGAATGAGAGGACCCATCATTTCTCGTCTTTTCCTTACAACTGTGGGACTTCCCGTCCTCCGGAGATGGCGAACTGCCTCTTTGACTGCTCTGATCTGGTCTTCTGCAAAATCTTTTGGCAAAGAGCTCCCCAGGTGCACTGTGTCGTGATAAAGAAGGTGTGGCTTTCACCGGCCCCGTGCCAATGGAAAACGTCACCAGGTCCGATCATCCCATGCTCTTGATTTTATTTGGATGCCTTTTCTAAACAGCATGTAGGTAGCGAAAGACTTCTTGGCAACAGCCGTGTACCTTTGAGGCCGGTAATGCCAAGTGTTTCTGGGTGGTCCCTTGTGGTTTCATGGAGGTTCAGGGCTGGAAGGGATCTTGCAGATCACCGGGTCCAGCTCCCCCGCGCTTTGGCAGGAAAGACTGCTGGGATCAGACGACCCCGGGCGTCACCAGGGTGGGTGCTGTCGGGCTTCTCCCTGTGCTGAGCCCCCTGGGCGCGTCTACGCGAGACACTTACTGCGCATTCGCCTAATAACCAGGGATCCCGGTTTTCTCTGATTTAACCTCCCCCTCCCCAATCTTCAGTTTAAAAAAAAGTAACCCCCAAATCCCCCTTTTCCCCGCGATTCCAATGAAACACCACTATACATACCTCTCTATAGTAATGGCGTTTCGTGTTAATCACGGACAAAATGTGCCTTTTGGCCTTACCTTTTTTAAACCGAAAATTGGGGAGATATATATATATATATACACCAATCTAGCTGCTGCAGGCAAGGGATGGGGGGAGTAGCATCTCTCATCGGTGGGGGGGGGGGAGCATGAGCAGAGGATGAGCCCCAGGTGCCAATTTGGAGAGGCTGTCCCCAAGGGAGCCTTCACTGTGGGGTCTTGTGTCCTGGTTCTGTTCTGCCCTTTCGTCCCTCAACATATGCTATTGCCTGACCCCAAGCAGCAGCAGTTCAGCCTGTCCTCACACCCCAGTCACAGCAGTGGCACCTGGAGTGCAGGGAACCCAAGCTATGGCAGGTAATAACACCACACCCACTGCTTTTTGGCATTAGTGACCCCCATCCCTCCCAGGGCTAGGAAGTAGTTCACTGCGCCTCTGCAACTGCAACACCTGGGTGAGGGAGAAGGGGGCAGTGGGGGCACACAGGGCCAGGGACACATGGGGCCTCCCCAGCTTCCCACCAAGGGACAGGGAAGGGGCTGCTCCCATTCTCTCACCTTTTGCCCAATGGGGCAGCCCAGAGTGGCCAATCCTGGGGCTCTTCCTGGACCTGAGACAAGGAGCTTGGTCTCTACTGCAGTGGGTATTCCCCCACCCCACGAGCAAAGGTGGACAGGAGCTATTCAAGAGTAGCGCATCAACAGATGTATGAATTTAAAAAGTGGGTCTCTAGTAGAGCTGGACTGAAGGCAGAAATGTTTTGCAAAAAAATGTTGAGGTTTCATCATTTGGTTTCATTCCAATGTTTAATGAAATGTGAACATTTCAAAGTTCTTCAAAGAATTTTGTTTTTAAAAAATATTTAGGGGTTTGAGGAAAGATGCCATTACAGTTTTGTCATTGTATTCAATATTAGACCATTTGATACAATATAAATACCACATAGTAAAGCCATTTTAAAACACCCCCCCCCCCCCAAAAAAAAAAACAAACAACAAACTAGCCCTGTCCTTCCCCAAGTGCTGCTCTGATCCCCTCGCCCCTGCCTGATCTGCTGCTCAGCTTTCTGCTCCCTGCCCTGCGCTGCCCCTCCCTGCGTGCCCTGCCCCGGCTGTCCCATGAACCTCCTCTATCTGTGAAGATAGCTGGCCACGACTGACTCATGAATGCAAAGCTGCCACCTCCCATGCACACCTTGCCTGGAAGTGGCACGCTTGCATGACCGGGGTGTCCCAGGCTAAGGAGACGAGGCCGGATGAGCCGTAAAGCTTCCTTGCGGTCTCCTCGCTGCGGTGGGCTTCGCTGGCGCAGACCAGGACTCTGCCTTCCTTCCCGGCTTGGTGCAAGGGAGAGAAGAGGCTGCCTGGAGGGCCAGGTGGCGAGGGTTGGGGGAGCAGGGATGACTTGTCGAAGATCATCGTGCTGGCTTGCTTTTAAACTGAATGGAGCATGTCTCTCTCGGATGTCGTGTCCTGCTGA